CCCCCACGGCTGAAAGGGCAAGCATCTTTGGTGCAACAGGGATTCGAACCCGCGACCCTCAGATTGCGAGTCGAGTGCCTTAACCACCTGGCCATGCCAGGCCAAATATTTTCAGATAACATAATGCAGAAAATATGGTATTAAAAGCTTAATTACAAATTTCAGATTGCGAGTCGAGTTGAGTGCCTTAACCACCTGGCCATGCCGGGCCAAATATTTTCAGATAACATAATTCAGAAAATATGGTATTAAAAGCTTAATTACAAATTTCAGATTGCGAGTTGAGTGCCTTAACCACCTGGCCATGCCGGGCCAAATATTTTCAGATAACATAATTCAGAAAATATGGTATTAAAAGCTTAATTACAAATTTTGGCCACTAGATTTTGACACAAATACTTTTTAAGTTACTAAGGTTGCAATGTTTGTCACGAACAAGTTTAAAACTTGGTGAACACAAAACCTAAAGAAAAATTTCTATTTTATTTAACCAACCAATAGAACACATAGATTATACAAAAATAAGCATTTGTTTTGAAAAAATGAAGCAGGATTGTTATTATATATATATATATATATTTTGTTTCTTGTAATGCATCTGAAATAATAAAAATAATTTTCTTTAATACTGTCCAGATGATGTTATAAATTGTAATTTCACACAGCTCTTGATAATCCCAAATACTTTTTTTTTAGAATTGATTGCTTACAAACCATAAACCTTTTTTTTTTATCAAATACATAAAAATAAAACAACTACATACTGGACTGATGTCACAGCAAATGTTTTTCCCAAAAATGCTCAAACATTAAAATTATCAAAGTATATGGAATGATTATAAAAAAAAAGGCACCAATATGTTTCAAGCCCAATTTTTGGACAGGCAGACTTATTGTGGATACTGTTCAAGAAATACATATCAATAGTCTGATATTTGAAGAATGGTATTCTAAATATATATATATATTACAAACAGGATCAGAAAATCATTATTAGGATCGTACAGCACTTCTGTGGACACTGAGGATTTGGGTATAATGTGACTAATACACTTTTCTTATATTCAAATCAAAACAAAGCAGAAACAATTTGAAAATTATTTCAACAAATCTTAAATAAAAACACATTACTTAAAACAAAAGTTCCATTTGATTATAATATATTGAATTATTTGGCTTCATAATCTTAAAAAAAAGTAAAAAAAAAAAACAATACTCCCAAAATCACTATGAATTCAATTAGCATTTGCAGAGTTGAAATTGGCCCACATAAATACAAAAGTATTAAATATAATGCTTAAAATAATTAATTATTAACTGTGTACAAACAGCACCATTTCAGTAGGTGTGATTAGGTAACTAATGAATAACACCTACTTACAATCTTATCTTTTTTCCATCACATATTCCTCATCCAGCCCAATACAATAATTAATGAATTATCTTGTTATCCTATAGTAGACATGTTAGTGTTTCACAAACAAGAACAACAAAACATAGATATTAATAGCACAAATTGTTGCAAATAAATCTTAATTTAAAAAAAATTAACAAAAAAATCCATAAACGTCAAAGCTGTGGTGAAGAAGTCAAGACATGCAAATACATGTCCAGGTCAGTTATGAAAATAACTTTCTTTGATCTAATCTTATGCACTTCTATTTGAACACAGTATTATTACATCATTCGTCAGTTTCTTTTTCTTTTTTGCTGTTGAAATATAAGTACTTCTAAAAAATAAAAACAAAAAAAGGGAAAGCTTGTAACCACATGTGCTTAACTGATATGATTACTCCAATACCATAGGTAATTTTATTAAATATTGTCTAATTTTGGTTATAAACTGGATAAAAAATACCTAATAATTTTTAACCATACATTTTACTATCAAAGGAAAACAGTTTACACAAATCAATTTTGAGTCTTTTAGTTCTCCATAATCCTGAAGTTTAATATTGTGATAATGGCTTTAAAAGTAGATGACAAACCTTTATGGGGTAATCATCCCTCAAAAATACTTAATCTTATAATAACACATATATTATCAAACTAAGCTGGTTTGCCACACGAAATTAATACTATTTAAGTAATTCATAAAATAATTGATGCTATATACACATACATATAATTCTGTTAACAGTACAAATTAAATACTTCCTGGGATATATCATAGTCAAAATTAATGCAGTAACACTTCATAAAATCTATATTATCAATCTGCTTAGCTCATGTAATTATTGATTTTTGACGACTTTGACCAATAGGAAAAACTTTTTTATTGTCACAAATTTGTAATACTCATGTTAATGATGAATAGTATGGACTCCCTGCCTGACGACTTTGTATAACTGATTTCTAATAAACTATACAATAAGGTATGTTTATAATCTAATTTGAAAGTAGCTTTAAGCAATATTTAAAAAACAAACAAACAAATATGGTGTAATATAAATACAGATCAACTTTAAATCATATAACTTTAAAATGTTAACTTACTTAGGATTAATTGAAGAATACTTTAACTTTGTGTAACAGGTGGTTACAAGGAGCAACGTTCGTTGTACTCTAGCATAGTTTAGTCCAATTAAAAAGTATATTCAGTTTATTAGTTTTAGGAATGTTAATTTAACATTGCTTGACAGCCAAAATATTCTAATCCAATCCTCTCTTAAGCACACAACACACAATCTTATGCTTTCATTTTGTATTTTAATAACCAGCTGGTGGACATTAGGCAAGGCAAAAGGCTTATTATGCTTGTGTGTCACCAGTAGGGGATTCATCCTGTAGTGATAGGGTGATTTCATCTCCACCAACGCTTCCAGATGAAGTCAGAGAGCCCCGTTTAAGGTAACGAGATGATGTTAGGGATGAAGAACTTCCCGTAGAGGAACCTGCTCCTCGTCTGAAGGAAAGAAATTAAAATAAGTACAAGCTTACTAAAGTTTTTAATTAACATACAACAAAACAGCTAGAAAAAATCTAAGAGTGAAGGTTTCTCACCTTCATTGTTAGAGAAAAGCTTTCTATGTAAATAAATTTTATCCTTGTAATAGAAAGATATTGATTTCATTAGAATGGAACATCACATCAAATAACTTATAATACAATTTTAAATGTCAGGTAATTTTCATGTTTTCTTAAGAAAAAAAAACTCTGAGAGAAACAACACAAACTGTATTAAATATACTGGAGTAAAACAAAAATTATACCTTAATTTATTTTTCAGGTTGGATAATTCTCGAGACATTGCCTCATTAGATTCGGTCATATCCTCAAGTTCTCGCTGAGCTTTACGTCGCTGGGCTTTTTCTCGGGAACATTCTTCTTCAGCTTCATCCAGTTGACGCTTCAGTGCCTTGACTCGATTGTTCACCTTATCTACCTGTAGAATAAAGATCAATAAAAAACTTTATGCAGAGTAGAAATGTGGTGATAACACGAGTGTTTTACAGTTTGTCATGTGAAACTATAGATGTAATTTTCTGGTGATACACAAGAACTATTTGGCCACTTTTACCCTAAATGACAAAGAGATAATGTCTCTTATAATTAATAAACAGAAAACTATTTCAACATAGGAATGACAGGAGGAAAAACTGTAATCATTAGTGTCTGCTGGATTATGATCAAAACTTGTGTTTACCACTCCTTCAAAGTTACATTTTTTGTTTTCTGATATTTGCACAAAACTACTCAAAGGTTATCTGTACTAGTTTTAATTCTGAACTGACAGGCTATAAGGCAAGACATTTAGTCCACAGCACCCACCACCAACTCTTGGGCTACTCATGTCTGACCAAATAATGGGATTTGACCATTCCTCTTATAAAGCACCCAAAGGGAGGGGTCTTTTTTTTTCTTTTGTGGTAACAGGATGCAAATGATGGACTCAGAGATCCACAGTCTGACACTCTAATCACTGGACTTCATGAGGTCCCCTTAAAGGTTGTAATATACTATTTAAATGACATATAAGAACAATAATTATGACTTCTGTAGATTACTAACTTGTTCTTTATACTGGTCGGCATGACGTCGTTCATCCTCCAACTGCATCACCACCTCCTTCATTTTCTTTTCTATTTTTCGTGAGGCTTTTGCTGCTGTCTGGCGCTCTCTGTTGAAAAGGATTATACTTTTTATAGCAGTCTTTGCACAAATTCATTTTTGTAAGAACAAAAATTCTCAAAAACAGTAAAAAATTATTTTATACATGTTATTAAACTGCAACATTAATAAATTTTGTCAAAAAATCATCACATTTTCTAATAAAATAAGTATTTTTATAATTGTTAAAAAAATGATGAGATATCTTGTATACAATTATTACTTAAGAAAAGGGAACCCACTTTTTATATCAACAATAAATATATCTCACTTTGTTTCGACATCTAACTGTTCCTCAAGTTGAGCAATCTTTGATTCAAGAGCAGCAATGGCAGACTTAGTCTTGGCACGTTGAGATGTTTCTAACTCCTGAAGCTTGGCTCGAAGCTCTTTGTTCTACAGTACAAAGTATGTTTAGAAACTGTGCAATATGTATTTATTTTAAATTTTAAAATCAGATTACTAAAAAATTACACAGTTTCCCCATATTTAAAATGTCATGATGTATGAAACTATGTCACAGACTAATAGTTTTGTATTCAGCAAAGTTCCCCATTTGGGGACTATATAAAATGTACATCATTGTTAATGTAGTGTAAATTCTCCAAATCTTGAACAAGTTGTTCATGTCATTATTTAAATAAATAAAGAGAACAAATACTCCAAAGAATTTATGTAGTATTTTTCATTTTTAAATGAATACTGTTTTGTCATTTCATGCTCCTTCCTTCTACTTTTATTTCATCAAGGAAAATTTAAATCTTTTTCAATCATCAGAAAAATTCTTCAAAACAATGATTGTGTTAAATAATCTAGTAGATGTACCAAGCAAAGGATATGTTAAAATATAAAAATAAAAGAACAAAAAAAAAAGGCTAGTAGAAATTTATATGTTAATTTCTTACGTACAGACTTCTAAAGTTGATGCTTATACAGAAAAAACGTAATTTCTTTATAATAAGGGCTGGCAAAATATACCTTCTTCATCTTCAAGTAGCTAACAGATGTTCTTTTAAATTGGTATCTCACCTGTCTTTCAAGCAACATTCTGTTATTCTCCAACTTCTGAGATGTAGATCTCTCAGTTGCCAGGTCTGTTGACAACTGCTCAATCTAGAAAAACAAATAACATTAATACTCGAGCATGAAAGAACATTATGCTAATAACGATTTATAAGCATAATGAAGCGATTTATTTTTGAGGGAACATACTACATGTTTCAACAGAACATTGATCAGTCTCCTTCAGACACATACACATCAATAATGTACATCTGTATTTTTTAGTCGTAACTCTTAGACGTAAGCAGAGATTCCCATGTTTTCAAATTAAAACCTAAGTTTGGGCCTTTAGTTTTGATAGTGTATGAATGTAAGTAAGTGTAATTAAAATGCTGTAACATTCTTCTGATTAGAAGCCAATAAAAAAGGCCAGTTGAGATTACTTAAAATTAATATCAGTCTTATTCTGATGTTCCCTCAGACATCACCCCCCCAAAAAAAAGCATGCTCCACCAGTTTTGTTGTTATATACCACAACATTAGGTATTTTATATCTAATTCTTTCAATCTTAAATAAGCATTACTAAATTACTGAATCTTTACCCGTATTTTTAAAACCTAACTTTAGCAACTGATACGTAAGTAAAAATTTACTTGCCTTTAGGCTTAACAATCGAATTAAAAAACAACTGTATTTGGGTCTAGGCTTTACAAGTTGAATAGCATAATTATGTTAATAAAACTGCCCATAAGTCTGACAAAATCACTAGAGGATTCAAACACTGCCTACTTGATAATCTAGTTACATCAGCTATACATTCTATCTGAGTTTGCGTCTTCAAAGTTTAGTGATACAATAACATAAACTGAACAACAGTCTTAAGAAGTCCTAAGAGCCTAGTTACATAAATAAAATGTTTTCTGAGATTGGGCATTATGAGTTTACCATTGCACAAAGAAAAATAAATATGAGCGTTACGCTTGTGAATTGTTTATCAAGGTACACATATATAATACACCTATTGGGTTTATTAATCCATTATAAGTATCTGAACACAGTAAGTCTGGAAAAAAAAATATATATATATATATACATACCTGAGTCTGGGCTTTGCGAGCTTTCTCCATCATTATTTCAGAATTGCCCTGTTCTTCTTCCAATTCTTCCTCCACTTGCTGGATTTTTGCCTCTAGACGCCTCTTCTCCTCCTGCAGGAGTGAACTGTCAAAGAAAGAAAAAAGGGATTTAAAAGGGATTCTTTTTCTAAACAAAATCAATGCCAACTGATCAACCTACTGGTACCTAAAATCTGCACATTTCTCAAATGTTTCTTATGTCTCTGGAGGATTTAATTGAAGCTTATTCCATTCATCATTTGAATATAGAAAACAAGAAGGTTAAAGCTCATGTTAGTTCATATATGCTAAAATATCATGAACACAAAATAATTAATTAAAAATATCTTTCAAAAGATTTCATCTCAAAATTCTTGTAAAATACAACATGCAACATACTTTTACAGAAAACTGCAATAAAAAAATGTCACTAGTTTCTGTATCAAGGGTTAATGGTTCTTAACATAAAACCATTTTTCTAGTTTAATGATTCTATAAATAACCAAGTTTTTATACTTTTAATAAGTAACATTATATGTCTCTGATGATTCTTTAACTAAGCCATTAGTATATCTTTAATGGTTTTGAAATATAAACCATTTTTATATTTTGTGACTTTCTAAATTAACCATTTTTATATATTTAGTACTACTTTAAAAGAGCCGTTTAAATATCTTCATTGGTTTTCTAAATAATTTAATTTCTTATATCAGTATTTGGTTTTCTACATGAAAAATTTTATATTGTAGCCAACCTAATCTTTAACTACACGTACAATTTAAAATATTGTTGTAGGCTATGTTTTTTACAACAGAGATGTTTGTATTGTTGTTTGTTTATATGTTGTGATGTGGCTTAATGACTAGAACTTTCTTGAAAGTGAATGAAGCAATCTGAGCAGTATATAAAACAGGAGTTTATCTAGATTAGAAAATTTATTATTAAGTTCGTCAGTTCAATTTTGTGAATACTGAGTTTTTGTTTTAATGAAGAAACAAATATACGAAACTGTACTGTATCAGGCAAATGGTAGCACTGCCTATATATGGATGGCTCAGTTTGTTCATCAAAATTATATTTTAAATATCTCCTCAATATACAATACTATATAGTGTTTCCTTTTATAACCATATCTATGTTACAACAATATCACAAGTGCTGGGAATGTCTGTAAATATTATAGCAAAAAGTTTGAATAGAAAAAAAACTAGCAAGTATTTGAAATTGTATTAGTATCTAGTGTGAACTCAGCTCTATCAGCAAACATTAGTGATGCTAATTTGTACAAGTTGTGGAACTTGTAGTTGGAAAAATAAAACACTTTCATGACTATCTAATAAGTGGACTGGAATTTGCATTTTTTTTATACCAAATAATCTAAAAGAACCTGCTCAACAATAGAAACCATTACGACAATATTTCTTTACCTTCGGGAAGCATTGTTATTAACTTCCTCCTGTAGTTCATCTCTCTCAGCTTCAGCAGTGCGACGAGCCCGCTCTGAATTTGCTAGATCTTCCTGTAGCTGAATTGACTCAGCTTCCATGCTCTTCAACTTCTTTTCCATTTCCTTAGCCTGGGCAATCAAGTCATCACGAGATTGGCGTGCCTCTTCAGCATCTCGCTGATAATCCTTCAATTGATTCTGGAATAATTCATTACTAAATTAGTAGAGCAAAGTAATTTCTGAAGCTCTAAACAATATTTATTCAAGAAGCATAAATATTTGTTGTTTGACAATTACTTAATATTATCAACTACATCAGTGAACTCTGTTTTAATAATGACAATTACATAAATTAAACCTGCAAAATTATACACAACAAAACCATATTTCTGATGTAAACTTCACAAAATGCTTAAGTAAACAATAAGAGAATGTTTGCTCTGTGATAATTAACATAAAGTACCAAGAATTTCAGCATACTGAGCCCAGAATTCTTTTCTATAGATAATGAATTAATTTCCCTTTTGATATATTTTGGTTTTACGAGTGCGTTATTGCAAAGTATAAGCTAAAAATATTAATCATTTTAGTACATTTCTTATGATTTTAATATTGCAATTTGTTCAATATCATTTCTAAGACAAGTAAAACATAGAAAAATTAGAATAATTTATTTAAATATTAGTAGTTAACCATCTGTAGTTGCAACATAAAAAGTTTAACATTCAAAAATTGTTTCCTGATATGATCAGAAATCAGTAAAATGTCTTGTACAGTATATGCATTAAAAATAATAAAAATATGAAACAAATCTTCATCAGTGTGTTTGTTTTAAAAGACGAATGGTAAACCGTTATTGTTTCACAAGTACTGTTTTTCCTGCATGTATAAGCAGTTGATATTACACTTCATAACTTATTTTTTCAAAAATCAAATAAAAATCTGGATGTGATTAACATAGATTTGTGGTTTTTCTAATTGATATGAAAAGAATAGCAATGCATTTTTTTTTTCTTCTGACTTACTGAGTAACTGTAAACCATTAAAGAAAAATCACCTCTTGGTCACTGCAAGCGAATATTCTACCATAACAGGTAACATAACTCCGAAAAAAAACCATACCTGAAGTTTCTTCAGCTGCCTGATGGCATCTTCCTTCAGACGGTTAGCCATTTCCAACTGTTGTTCCAAATCCTTAAAGTCACCTTCCAGTTTTTTTCTGGCATTGATGGCTGCTCCTCTTTGCTTCCTCTCATCTTCAAGTTCTGCCTCCAGGTCCCGCAACTACAGGTAGAAAATAAAAACAGTTTAACTTAATTTGAAACACTAAGACTCAAGACTTATGCTGGGCAATTAACACTTAACAATTTTGCATGCATTATTTACACCTAAATGTAATGGAATTGTGTGTGTGCGTGTGTGTATCAATGTAACAGTTATTTTAAGGCTTCTGTTGAAAAAGAAGTGTCTAATATTTTTCATGTTACTGCATTTTTAAATGGTGGTAAAAATGATACAAACTTTTTTAAGTGTGCTCTTCAACACACTTTACTATTCGGATATCTTGCAATTTATACAGTTTTAAACATAACCACATCTGTAACATCATAGCAACTGGATTCTAACTGGTCAGAGTTGAGGTTTATAAAACATTTATCACTACAGAATGTAAAAAAACAGACAAAGTTCACCAGTTACAAAACATAGTTTGATATTGGTTAGCTTAAACAAATACTGTTTGGATTATAATTTACAAGGAAAAGTACCCATTCCCAGTGATGGGAAAAGTTAAAGTTAATCTATCAATTTAAATTATTTCATGAACTTTAAAAAGGTTAATGACATTGCACTCTTGGTTTTACCCAGAGCCAAAGCTCTGAGTTACTTATACAGCTTACTGTGAAAAGTAATTGTTGATCATTTCAGTCATGCTAAGAGCAACTCAACAATAACATACGGTAAATCTACATTTTTATTGTTTAAATTACGTCACATTTTGAAATGTGAATGATAGTGTGATTAATTTCTAACAAGTTAGTGTAGAATATCCTGCTTGCAAAATAAAATTTGGCAACAACATTATTCATGCCTGTTCTCCCATCATTTCAAATGTAAATGTTGAGTTTTGCCTGCGTGCACAACATTTCAAACGGGATGCAGACCAACACTCAGACAGACACCACGGTTCACAATATATATAAAATAGAAATATTTTGGAAATTTTTTTTTACACAAGTATTGTTTTTACTACAATGCATTTCAACTTAGAAGAAGATCAACTAATCTACAAATAATAGTGAGAAAGAATAATTATCTTTTTATATAACAAAAGTATTAATTTATATATGTATTCATATTCAAAATATTATTCAAATATTTTCATTGTTTTCATAATAGCCATTAATGTGGTGAAACAATTTCATACCTGATATTTTGTTTTAGTCAGAAAAACAATTAGCAAAAATTTACTTAGACTTCAGATTAGTAGTAAAATACTGACAAGTCTAATTATAGTATTTTGGCACTTGTGTATAAAGTTAAAATCATAAATAATATTCAACGTTAAACTGGTACACAATTAAAAACATTTTATTTAGGCCTATCTATGGCCTTCAAAAAGTTGACAACTCTACATGTTTCGACGCTACATCTCCTGAGGATGACGTTGTAACGTCGAAATATGTAGAGTCATCAACTTTCTGAAGGCCATAGATAGGCCTAAATAAAAAATTTTTTAATTGTGTACCAGTTTAA